GAAGGTGGCAATGAAGGTCACTTGGAGTGATAGTGATAGTGACTCCGATCATGAGGAGACCAAAGAAGTCACAAATCTTTGTTTTCATGGCATTAGAGGAAGACAATGAGGTAAACTCTATCTCATGTTATGAAAATGAACATTAATTAGATGAAATGCATGATGCCATGCATGAACTACATAATGATTTGCTCACTATTAAAAACAAATATAAAGATCTCAAGAAAAATCTTGTTGGTGTTTCTAAAGATAATGGCACTTTGAAAATTAAGGATGAAAAACTCAAGGTTCAAAAACCCTATTTGAAAAAGGAATCTCAGGATTCCTCCTTACATAACAAACATAAGGAAGAGATCTTGGATTTAAAAAAGACAAATTGTGACTTGAACAAAGTAGTTTTAAATTTTACTCAAGGAAGTGAAAAATTGAAAAACTTTTGTCAGGCGAAAGATGTGTGTTTGATAAAGCTAAATTGGGGTTTTAACAATCAATCAAAACAAAAGGCCTAAAAGAATTTTTTTTGTTAAAGAATCCAAATCAAGTAATGTTACCAAGACATGCAATTATTGTCATAAAATAGGACATCTTACATATAATTGCTATGCTAGGAGAGCACAACAAAATAGGGCCATGCATAAGGCTTTCATTAATTATAATGGACCCAAAACTAAGTGTGTACCAAAGGCCAATCATTGTTTACGACGTGTAGGTGTGTTTCAAATCTACTCACAAGACCAATAAGTAGTTTCTTGATAATGGATGCTCAAGAGATATGACGGGAGATAAATCCAAGTTTGCAAAACTATCAAAAGAGGATGGTGGATATGTAACAATTGGAGACAATGTCAAATGAAAAATCATTGGTATTGAAAATCTGGGTAAGGTATTTTCACTCCAAATAGAAAATGTCTTGTCGGTTAATGATTTGAAACAAAACTTGCTTATCATAAGTCGATTATGTAATAGAGGCCTTGAAGCTAATACATGCAAAGTAAAAAATATAATAGAAAATTGTATATTATTTGTTGCTAAAAATTTTGAAAATGTGCATGTTGTGGATCTTGATGACCTATATGATCAAAACGTAAAATGNTATTATTTGTTGCTAAAAAAGTTGAAAATGTGCATGTTGTGGATCTTGATGACCTATATGATCAAAACGTAAAATGTCTAGTCGTAATTAAAAATGAATCTTGGCTTTGGCATAGAAAATTATGATATTGTAGTATGGATATACTTTCTAAACTTGTTAGAAAAGTCCTTATCGAAGACTTGCCCAAAATTAAGTTTGAAAAGGGCAAAGTTTGTCAACAATGTCTACTAGGAAAGCAATGCAATAGCACATTTAAGCCCCAAATCTCCATTTCCACAACTAGGCCACTAAAACTTATGTTAGAAGTGATCATGGTGGAGAATTTGACCAACATAAGTTTTAGAATTTTTGTCTTCATAAAGGTTATGAACATGAATTCTCGGTTCCTAGAACATCACCCCAAAATGGTGTAGTAGAAAGAAAGAATAGGACCATTATAGAAATGAGTAAACCATGCTTCATGAATATGGCCTACCAAAATATTTTTTGGGTGAAGCTGTAAATTGTTCTTCTTACATCCTTAATAGAGCTTTAATTAGACCAATTATCAAGAAAACTCCTTATGAGTTATGGAACAATAGAAAGCCAAAAATTGGATATTTCAAGGTATTTGGATGTAAGTGTTTCATATTAAATACAAAAGACCACTTAGGAAAGTTTGATGCAAAATCAGACGAGGCTATATTCTTATGTAATTCCACGTATATCAAAGCCTATAGAGTCTTTAACAAAAGAACTCTTGTAGTTGAAGAGTCCATGCATGTATTCTTTGATTAATCGGATCCTTTAACTATTAGAAATAGAAATGAAGATGATGAGGAGTTTGACTTAGATTTTCAAATAAGAAGAGTTAACATAGATGATGACAATAGTTATAGGAAGGATGATGATAAAGAAGATGACCAACCTAGGGACACAAATGAACCTACTTCACAAGGACTTCCTAGGGAATATAGAAGAGTCATATGTCATCCCCTAGATGAAGTCATAGGAGAGCCTTCACAAGGAGTCAAAATTAGATCAAGTCTTAGGAACATATGTAATAATCTAGCATTCCTATTTTATATAGAACCTAAGAAGATAAATGAAGCATTAAAAGAAGAATCTTGGATTATGGCCATGCAAGAATAACTAAACTAGTTTAGAAGGAATGAAGTATGTGAACTAGTTCCAAGACATAAAGACGCTTCCATCGTGGGCACAAAATTGGTATTTAGAAACAAACAAGATGAAGAAGCAAACATCACCAGAAATAAAGCTAGATTGGTGGCACAAGGATATAATCAATAAGAAGGAATAGACTATGATGAGACATTTGGCCCCCGTAGCTAGACTAGAGGCCATAAGAATGCTATTTGCATGTGCATACCATAAAGGTTTTAAATTGTATTAAATGGATGCTAAGAGTGCTTTATTAAATGACTTTATTTTAGAAGAAGTACATGTAGAATAACCACCTATTTTTGAGGACAGACACAACCCTAATAATGTCTAAAAACTTACTAAGGCATTATATGGATTAAAACAAGCACCTAGAGCTTCGTATGAAAGACTTAGACACAACCTTGTTCATAAAGCATATACATGAGTACATTCTTATTGTACAAATCTATGTTGATGAGATTATATTTGGTGCTACAAATGATAAACTACGTGATGATTTTGCTAAATGCATGAGCAATGAGTTTGAAATGAACCTAATGGGTAAGTTAAATTTCTTTCTTCGTTTGCAAATAAAACAAGGAAAAGAAGAAATATTTATAAGTCAAACCAAATATGCTAAAGACATATTGAAGAAATTTGGACTAGATAACTCAAAATCATATAGCACACTTGTGAGCACATAACTAAAGCTTGACAAAGACGAAAATGGAAAAGATGTGGATATAAAGTTTACTTTGTCTAACAGCTAGTAGACCTGATATTATGTTTAGTGTATACTTCTGTGCTAGATTTCAAGTGAATCCTATAGAATCACATCTATGTGCGATAAAAAAAATATTTAGATACCTTGGGGGACCACAAGTTTGGGATTATGGTATCCTAAGAGTTCATCTTTTGAATTCATTAGCTATGCAGATGCGGACTTTGGCGGGTGCAAAGTTGATACGAAAAGCACTAGTGGCACATGTCAATTTCTTGGATGCTCACTTGTTTCTTGGTTCAACAAGAAACAAAATTCGGTTGCCTTGTCTACGGCCGAGGCCAAATACATTGCACCAGATGTAGTTATGCACAAGTTCTTTAGATGAAGCAAACCTTAAAAGATTTTAATATATATTTCAATCATATTCGTATTAGATGTGAAAACACTAGTGCCATAAACCTCACCAAGAATCCTATTCAACACTCTAGGACTAAACACATTGAGATTAAGCACCATTTCATTAGAACACATGTTCAAAATGGTTATATTGAACTTGAGTTTGTTAGGATTGAAGATCAATTAGCAGACTTCTTCACCAAACCTTTGTTTAAGAAGAGATTTAGCTCAATTAGAAGAGAATTATGGATCACTAAACCTTATGAATAGAGATTGAAATGAGAGAAGGTAAAACTGTGAGTTAAAACTTAGAAAATTTAGAAAGAAAAATGAACCGGCACACCAGTTGGGCTCAAAAGCTTAAACTGACAATTCTAGTTTTATAGTTTTTGGGGATAAAATCATATTTTTGGTTCAAAATCCCTCACTCCTCTATTTCTATTCTCATAAAACTCTATAAACCCAGAAATCTAATTCCCAATCTTTCATTCACTGTTGTTCTCTCTATCTTTCATGGACTATCAAAGGATTAAAATTATAAAAAACCCTAGACTCAAGGCTTCTCTCCTTATGGCTCCAAAGAAGAGCAGTGGNTTCACTGTTGTTCTCTCTATCTTTCATGGACTATCAAAGGATTAAAATTATAAAAAACCCTAGACTCAAGGCTTCTCTCCTTATGGCTCCAAAGAAGAGCAGTGGAGCTAGGGAGTCATCTGCTGCCTAAGAGAGGAGATCCAAGAGGATNAAATTATAAAAAACCCTAGACTCAAGGCTTCTCTCCTTATGGCTCCAAAGAAGAGCAATGGAGCTAGGGAGTCATCTGCTGCCTAAGAGAGGAGATCCAAGAGGAGAAATGATTTGGCCATTCTAAATGATAAATGCCGAAACAAGTGGCCAAGGCATGAATGCAAGGACTTCTATGAGAGTCAACCTATTAAACTGGTAGACTTAGATTATAAGAATATTGATTCAAAATTGACAGAGACTACTTGATTGCCCCTAATAGAATTAGATGAAGTCTATTATCCCAACTTAGTGTGTAGATTTTATACTAATTTGTATGTGAAACTATTAGGAACTAAAAAATCTATGGTGCATGGAAAAGTGATAAAAATATCACAAAAGATGTTATCCAAGATATTGGGGGTTCCTAATGAAGGTGAGACTATTTTATTTTGGCAAAGAGTACACTTGAAAGAGTAAGTGCAAGTAGTTGTTTAAATATCGTATTTGGTGAGAGACGTGTAGAGGGACCAAAAATTGAGGCTAAGAACATGCTTCTAGCCCCTAGGATCATTAACAAAATTATGACCAAGACTATTCTTCCTAAAGGTGGTCACTACAATGAGGTGACTCAGTTTCAAGTCTTCTTAGCTGTATGCATTATGGTTGGTAGGAAATTAAATCTTCCCAACATCTATAGGCAATACATGCAGTTGGTTGAAGGCTCCCATATGATGTGCTTTTTACCAAGGTCTTTAAAGCTTTTGACATTGATTTAGCACATGAGGAGTGCATTGCAGGGAAGACCTTCTTTGACAGCACCACACTCAAACAAATGGGAATTGAAAATCTTCTTGAGTTTCATATTAGACAAGATAGGGAGATAACAAAATCAAGAGAAAGAGGTGAGAATGTGCATAGGATGGGGTTGTAGTGGGAGTTATAGGTGTGGAAGGTGAGATGGAAAGAGAAGAAAAAAATCTTTCACACACTATGGAGATTCAAAGATGTGATGATGAGGCTATACGAGATGAGGGTGCATCTAGATTTAGATATGTTACCTATGAAGAGTTTGATAGCTTGAGTAGGTCTGTGGACACTCTCACTACTAGTGTGGCAGGTTTGCACACTAAGCTTGATGACATGATGGCATTTATGAATTCAATATTAGGGACTCCACCTCCTTCTCCACCACCACCTTCTGATATTGTATATCGTCTAGATAATCCAGTTGATGACACATTCATGGAATTCTAGAAGCTTAAGAGTTATCAGTCATAGTTAGTATGCACTAGGACATCCACAGTTTAGGATGTTACATTTTGTTATCACTCTAAGACACTTAAAGTCATTTTGAGTGTTAGGCTCTATGTTATTTAAAGTCCTTTTGACTACAACTATGTTATGATGTGGTTTTTATAAAATGGACATCATTTTTATTTGATGTTTGAATGATCTTTATGCTTGCATGCATTGCTTGATTGTTTGTTAGTTGTGATGATCATGAGAGAAGTATTGTGGTATTGAGCACTATATATTGTTTCTCATTCATATCATTGACATTAGAGAAATGCATAAACAAAAGAAAAGGAGCTAACTTTGCTACTTATACATCATTAATTTATGCATTGTGTTCCTACCTTTGACAAGTGATTGTAACATGCTTGGTTTTATTTTGATGATGCCAAAGGTGGGAGAAATATGTATATGAGTATCAACATGTATAATTTTTTTGGTACTACACCTTCAAAGGAGATACACACATACACATGCTTGTACTCAAAACAAAATTTTTCAAAACATTTTGTGAGGAAACCATGTTTGATATAAGCATAAGTTGAGGGGGAACCTCACTTCATGATTTCAAAATGCTTTTAGATGTACGTATAAATTCAAGGGGACCATATGCATGATGAATGTGGCAATATTGTTTAGATTGTTGGATGATTTATGCTTTTGAATTGTAGATGTTTTATGATCATCAAAAAGGGGGAGAATGTTGACCCATTGCTTGCTTAAGCATGGTTTTGATGATGATCAAACATCTATACTATGATCTAATATGTAGTTTAGATGTGTAGTGTAAATTATATGAAAGATGTGCAAGATGGAAATGAAGAAGGAAAGACAAAAGATTCAAGTTAGAACTTTCATCCGGTATGCCGAATGAGGAACCGACATACCAATTCATGATGTGGCATACCGGATTCTGAAGTAGCCATCACTCATGCTCCTAGTACTTTGCCTTGCAAAATGAACTGGCATGCTCTGCACATGTTTGGCATGCTAGATGGTTTGAAGCGATAGGCACTCAAGCTCCCAGTTTTGCCTTGCAAAGTGAACTGGCATGCTCTGCATGTGTTTGGCATGCTGGATGCTGAAGCGGCATGGATTTCAGCACACAAACAAGTGCTAATCTTGTGACATACTAGTTTGTGTATGTTGAGCCTTGTAACATCTTCATTTGGCAAATATTTAAAATGCTTTAACTTTCAAGTATATATAAGGGTCTTCAATTCTTTGGGTTAAAAAAAATTTTTTTTTGCTACCTTGTATTGATGACCAAGAAGCCAAAGAGAGTTTAATCAGTCTTGAGTGATTTATTTCATTGAAAAGAGATTTAAAGTGTAAAATTTCTTCTTCTTTCTTCTATTCTTGATTTGAGAGAGAATTTTTGTAAAGCAAGAGAAAGGATTGATTGTTGTCTTCTTGAGTGACATATAGTGAGGAATATCATCTTGTACTTAAGGAAGAAAAGTGTAAGTGTGATGCCCCAAATTCTGGGGGTCCTTTGTTAACTCGTTGATCACCCATCAATCCGCGGAAATACCCGTGAATACCGCATGACCCGACACCACAGCTCAATAATAAAAAGGTTTGGACAGGGTCTCCCTAGGACCGAGAACTCCCAATTGCTTAATTTGTGTACATCATAGTCACTAGACCCATCCAAGGTCTAACACATTATNCGGAAATACCCGTGAATACCGCATGACCCGACACCATAACTCAATAATAAAAAGGTTTGGACAGGGTCTCCCTAGGACCGAGAACTCCCAGTTGCTTAATTTGTGTACATCATAGTCACTAGACCCATCCAAGGTCTAACACATTACAATTTATACTCTATTATGGTCCATTGACATCATTTGAATGAGGGAACACATAGGCCAAAAACATGGTAAAGTATTCTTAAAATTTCAAATTTTTGGAAAACCTTCCGGAAGGTTTTCGTTCAACCTTTCGAAAGGTTTCACTAACTGAAAAAGTTCTTCTGGAAGTTTTTCATCGACCTTCCGGAAGGTTTTGTCTACTGTAAAAAGGTTCTTCTGTAAGGTTTTCATCGACCTTCCGGAAGGTTTTGCCTGCTAGATAAAAATTTACATTAACCTTTCGGAAGGTTTTTATCGACCTTCNTTCACTAACTGAAAAAGTTCTTCTGGAAGTTTTTCATCGACCTTCCGGAAGGTTTTGCCTACTGTAAAAAGGTTCTTCTATAAGGTTTTCATCGACCTTCCGGAAGGTTTTGTCTGCTAGATAAAAATTTACATTAACCTTTCGGAAGGTTTTGCCTGCTGGATAAAATTTACATTAACCTTCCGGAAGATTTTGCCTGTTCTTCTACAAATCCTTCCTTCTTCATTTCCAACCCATTCCAATCCATTCCAATCCATTCCACATCCATCCAAAACCAACCTAACACATGCATAATGGAGTTTTGTACATTAAACCACACTTATATAAGTTCATTACAAACGATTTCATATATTTACATGCCAAAAACCAATTTTCCACAATAGGTTTACAAAAACCCAAAATAAAGCCACATTCCAGTTTTCTTCATCCTTGAGGCCCTGAGTGAGAACCTTCCGCCAATGTACCACCCACACCTGAAATATTTTCCCGTATTGGGTGAGCCAACGCCCAGTAGAGTATTTCCTACAGAGGGTACTCCCCAACCTAAGGGCATATGCAATGTTCATATGCAACATTTCGCAGTCAACAACATTCCCAAACAAGAATATGCAATTCTATGTCATGCTATGAAATGAGATGAAACTCACTCATGCATATTAACCCGAGTTCTCACCGACTCCCACTACATAATGCAATGCACATGTGTAATGAATCCGTCAATTGACGAAAAATACATCCAATGATTGTTTGAAATAAAAGTGATGTATTTTTAAAACCAAATCACTGTGGGTGTTACCCATTGAATGGGTATTTTTATAAAATAAAATCTTGTGTCTTTGTTGGGCAACGGATTTTGGAATTCTACCGTCGACTCTATAAGCCTTTTTACACTTTTTGGACTTGCACCGACAGAGCGTATGAACTAGTAGCCGGGCCTTGCACCCGAGGGAGCGTCTAGCCCTTCTTGCTATACCTGACACAAGTTTTCTTTTCTATGCAACTGTGGAACTTTGTTGAACCTTGGTCCAATAGTACCAAGCCCACTTGTCATCCACCGAGGATGGTGTTTGACCCAAACCATGCACATTCCGACACCCTCACCCAAGTTTCATGCTCATGGATGCGATGACTTGTGCAAATGTAATGTAGTACACCATTGCTATATCGATGTCATGCCTCATATGTAATGAATGTCATATGAGCTAGATTAACAATTATTTCCACATTTCATGGCCAATCATATCATAAGCATGTAATTGCTGATTTTCGTCACTATGTTAATACATCAATAAATACATATCAACATTTCTAATTGTAATTTATATCCTAAGCATATAATTACCACTACCATCATGATGCTAACATGTTAACAACATATCATTCCATCCATACTCAACAAAAATTCTCAAGCATGCTATTAAGTAACACATACCAATAACATACTTCCTTCACTGAAACATAATATAAACATAGAATGCCAAATTCCATTGAAATACACAAGTGAATTCCACAATTTCATTCCAAGATAGGAATTTAATTTAAAACATTACTTTACCCAATTCAAGATAGCATTTACTCTACCCGTTTTCAACACCCATTTCACCAATCTCAACTACAATAGGCAAATGATATATAACTATACCACCCCACCCATCACATATAACACCATAGGTTGTAAAATACGCCCAAGTAGGAAGAAACCATACCTCTTGAAGCATAAAGAACATGTTGGGAAGCTCCAAGAACCCGATTCAAGCTAGAATCTTCTGCCAAAAATTCCGTCCTTGGAATCTCACCCAAAACCAATCTCCTTGGTATGGTTTTGTTGCCCACTTCGAGGAGAACAACTATCCTTCTTGGCCCGAGTGGATTCGAGCACCGTGGAGTCATAGATCGTAGAGAGAAGGTGAAGAACTTTCTCTATTTTCCTCTCTTCTTTGTTGGCTAACGGCTGGAGAAAAGAATGGGAAAAAAATCTGATTTTTCCTCCTATTTATACTTCTTAATACTTGACCCATAATTCGCCACAAGACCCTCTTTTTCCTGGGTTCGTTTCTGTCCCGAAACGATTAATTTTTATTCTGGTTCAAGTTCAAAATATTTTAATTTTAAATTACATTTATTTTTTCCCAACTTTTAAAATTTTATCAAAAATCTCATTTTTGGGTCACCTGAGACTCGATCGCCTCGTAAAACGTAAAATATTCGACTATCTTAGAATTTGATGAAATTTGACAAGATAACTAAATTTCGCGAGACGAATCCAACTGTGAGGTCTGTTTTGTTATCCAAGATCGAGAAAATTCAGATTTTCAACTCGTACTATAGCAACAAATTATCTTTTTACCCTTTTTGTAAAAAGTTTAAATTTACCAGGTTTTACATTCTTCCCCCCTTAAAATAATTTCGTCCCCGAAATTCTTACACACTCATACACGCTTAATCGCATTCATATGAAATAATGACATTTTACTTAAAATTATAAAACTTGTATCTCCGTCCTCGAATAGGAACAGACAGTTGACATGTATAGTGTCTTCACGCTTCCATGTTGCCTCCTCTATGCCTCAGTGCTGCCACAAAACCTTCACTAGCCTCACGGTCTTGGCTCGCAAAACTTGCTCCCGGTTATCCATGATATGCACCAGTCCCTCCTCGAAGGTGTCATCCCCATCAACAATCAATTCACTCTAATCCATCACATGAATCAGATCTAGAGTATACCTCTAGAGGTCGCCGCCGTCTGTCGGCATAGCTCTTCTGTCAGCTCTGAGTTATGAGCAACTACTTCTGAATCAAGTTCACCTTCTCTGAGGTGTCTCTAATCAAATCCGAACCCA